CCAAAGAGAAGAAGGATCAACCAGTGACACACCAGACACTGCTCAGTCTAACAAAGCCGTTTCCCCAGGGGGAAGAGAGCTGCCTTGGCTTGGCTTCCAGGGAAGTGGGGGCTGCTATGAAAGCTGTGGAAAGCACATAACAATCAGAGGAAAGAGGGAAGTGATGACAGTGAGCAGATACCAGCTCCGGGCCTTACCTCGGGTGGCTTTGCTAAACAAAAGCAGCTATGGCAAAGTGCGGATGTAAGAAGCAGTGGGCACCGCGCTTCTTTCCTGCTTATAGGAATCACCTGGGGGTCAGCAGCTCCCAAAGTCAGGAAGGTTGAAAGCTGCCAGAACCAATCTGAGCCCCACAGAGCCTTTGGGCTCTTTGGGTTTGTATTCAATAGGTTTTGTAAGACTGGGATGAGTGAAAAGCAGATGTGGCAATGGGTTGATGCTGGGCTTGATGGAGCAGGAATTGGAGGGAGGAAACAACACCGGGCATCAGGGAGCCTGAAAAATGGCTTCTGCCAAGCTGATCTGATCTGGTTTTAGATAAAATTGTAATTAAGTCAGTACTTGATAATAGCAGTACTTTTAAGGTAACAGGGCTTCTGTTACCTATCTGATCCGTAACAAATGCAACATGGCACATATTAAATGAATCAGAAAACGCCTGCTGCCCTAGAAATGTAATTACAGGAGAAGATTCCTCATTTGGTTAGTGTATCCAGGAGAGCCCTTTGGGAACCAGCTCTTGACTCTGAACTAGTGCTGAGCGCAAGTAAACAACATTGGTTTCAATATATAAGGTCATCCTTTCAAAGGCAAAGGACGGGAGTCATTCTTCAGGAGAGGGTGCTCCCTCCTGGGCAACGGTGATGGGAAAGACCAGAGGGATCCTGGTGAATGAGCCAGGACTGAGAGCAACGGGCAAGAGCACGGAGAAGACAAACAGAATTACGCTACTGCATGTCTGGCTGGGAGAGTGACCGGATTTGACAGGGGTCAGGGTGAATGGGACCATCTTAATGAGAAACAGTCTTCCTGCCTGTCTCCAATTCCTTCCTCATTACCTCTGCCACGACCTGGAGGAGCAGAGCCCTGGCACCACCCGCAGGGCGCCAAAGGATGCACCCACACCCGGAGCCGCTGCCGCAGCTTGCGGGACCAGCGGAGGTGACCAGGGTGCAGCACCAGATGTGCACAGGGCCAACAGGACCTGCCGCCAGCTGGGCCACAGCTGCCAGCTCTGCTGCCCCCAGATGCGCTCCAGCTGGGGCTGCTGCCCCCGCGAGTGTCCTCACCTGCAAAGACCTCAGCTGCCAGATGTGCCGCAGTCACCCCAGCTGTGCCAGGGCCCGAATGTGCCCCACATCCAGCTGTTCCCCCGTTCTGTGCCACCGCTCCCAGTCGCGCCGCATCCCCCATCGCCCCCCCACCCCGCATCCAGCTGTGCCCAGATGTGGTCCTGCGGCGCCCCCTGGCGGCACCGGTGCCCGCGGAGCCTCCCTCTCCTGCCGGAGTTTCCCCGCTCATCCTGTCCAGCCTTCCCTTAATTAAAGCCCCAATTACGTCACTCATTAACACCCCCCCACACCCCCGCACGCAGCTCTTGCTCCAGAGGGGACAAGCGGCATCCTCGGAGCTTTCCGTTACGCGTTGTCATCAAGAGCACTCGGGATTGCGGAGTGTGAAAGAAAAGCTGGCAGGTTAAAGCCATTCCCCTTGGCCTGTCCCTGCAGGCCCTTGTCCAAAGCCCCTCTCCAAGTTTCCTGCAGCCCCTTCAGGCACTGGAGCTGCTCTCAGGTCTCCCCTTCAGGAGCCTTCTCTTCTCCAGGCTGCCCCAGCCCAGCTCTCTCAGCCTGGCTCCAGAGCAGAGCTGCTCCAGCCCTCGCAGCAGCTCCATGGCCTCCCCTGGACTCATTGAACAGCTCCATGTCCCCCTTGTCTTGGACACCCCAGAGCTGAAAGACCTAAATGGGGAACACTGGACCAGGCCTCACAACAGTTCGTGTCAAGCTGTTGCAAGCTGTGAGCATATTTTTAATTCATTTATCTCCCAACAGCTTCCTGCCAGGCTGTTCCTAGGGGAGAAATGGGCAGAAAGAGGGCAAATGGTGCTGGGAGACTCCAACTCTGCAACTGTGCACATGAAGAGCCCTGGGGCACAGGGCGGCCGGACACACCATGCACGCCACAGCCTGTTTGCCATCATCCCCTGACTGCACAGAAGTAGTCCAGGGACAGAAAGGGCTTTGCAGCAGGAGAGGGAAAGGGCTGGGAAGCACATAGGGAATGTGAGCTGCAGCAGGGTTTAACCCCATCCCCTAGGCAGGCAGGCTGAGGTGCTGGGAGGCCCTCCGGGCAATGGGGGAGGCAGGCTGGGTTAAATCCCTGTCTTTCACCTGGGCTGGAGTCCAGCCCCGAAATAGCAGTCCAAAAACAAGATCACATGAGAGGGAAAAAATAGCAAGGCGAAGGATTATCCATACTTCCTTGTCCTATGTGGGTGCAGAGCGGCGTGTGGTCCGCGCTGCCAGCGGCGGTGCCTGCGGTGCCCGCCATCTGATGACAGCTCCCAGCCAAGGTCCAGCTCAGCCTCGATGCCTGCGCCCATCTGAGGAACCCTGCCTGGCTCTGGAGCACCCGTGAGTGGTGCAGGAGCAGGAACGGGAGCTGCCTGTCCCCTGGCACCGTGTCCTCCCGTTGCCCCTCCAGTGCTGCTGCCACCACCAGCCCTTGCATCCCGGCAGGTGAGTGCCTCTTCCAGCATTCCCAGTGCCCCGGGCAGGGCATCCTGGCAGCCTCGTGGGGGCTTTGCAACCTCTTCCCGTAGGATCTGCCATGCGCCGTCCTGGTTCCTGAGCTCCCGGCCAAGTTCGGGTGTGCATCGCTGGGGGAACAACTGGGGTTTCCTTTTCCTCTCTCCGGGCTCACAGGCAGGGAGCTGGCAGGGAAGCAGGAGGGGGGACTTTCCATTTCAGGGCTGTTCCCAGCTTGTCCTGGCTGAGTGGCACATGCTGAGCTGTTTCAGCAATCCCAAAAGGAATTCAACCAAAGCTTTGGGACCTGGGGATCTCCTGGGGCTCATTTTAAACTTGCAGTAGGATTTGCCTAAGTCGCCTCTGCTGCGTGACTGCGGGTTCAGGGGAAGGAGGAGCTGCTGGGGCCGCGTGTGCTGGGGCTCAGCTGCCTGCACGGGCACTGCCTGCATACGGCTGGGTGCCAGGTTTCCAAACAACCCCAAGAAGTGTGTTCTTTATGGGAGTAGTGGCCGAGGAGGCCTGCGGATGTTTGCGGCGGGGAGGTGAGGAGGTTCCTCACCCCTGGCAGCGGCAGGGACCAGCCTTCAGCAGCCACCCCAAGGGCTGGGAAGTAGCCTGGGTGCCTGCTGTGTGCGGGTGCTGCGGGCAGGGTGGGCAGGGGGAGCAGGGCTGGCTGTGAGCAGTGCAGGAGCCCACCCCAGGGCTGGTGTTTGCTCCGTGTCCCTGCGGCGCTGCCGGCTGCTGGCTCCATCCCCGCTCGCTGTCTGCAGGACGGAGCAGACAGGGACACAGAGCAGCGGTTGGCAGGACGCCGGCAGCGGCTCCCGGTGCCCTGCATGGCCTCAGAGCTGCCAAATGCCAACCACAACAGGAGCAGGCAGGGGCAGGGGGGCTGGGGCAGTCACCCACAGCTCCAAAACAAGGGGATGCTCCCTCGCATGAGAAAGTGGAGCAGCGTTTCCCAGCATCCCTCATATGCTAACAACCCCACGCCTGTCATCCAGGAAAGCCCAAGCCAAAGCCAGGGCCACTCTTTTTTTTGAGACACAGAAATGTTTGGCTGTATCTGTCTTATATTTTTTTTTCTTTCTATTTTCAACATGTGGCTGAAATAGCAGAAGGAAATCTTGGGTGGGCTTGCTCAAACTAAACCAGAATAGGAATAACAGCGATGCCAGGGAGGTCCAGAGCCCACCTGCACTGCTGGGTGCATTAGGAGCCATCCCCACCGGCTGCTAAGTGCAGTCAGTCAGAACGTGTTCCAATCAGAACGCTGGGTTCGGCAGGCTTCCAGCCCAGCCTGCCCAAATACACAGGCTCCATGTGAGCCGGGACTAAAAGCCCATTCTAAGCGAGCCTTAGATAACGCAGCTTAAACACCACATCAAAGCACTGGTGAATGGCCAAGCGGTGAAGTCATCGCTCTTGCTTCAGTAACACTGCAGCCAGCTCACACGCAGCGCCCCGCAGCCTGCACCCCAAACCTGCTGCTGGCACCCCCGACACAGAGCCTGACCCCAGCACCCGCCGGTGCCCCCCAAACCCGCCGGAGCCCCGTGTCCGGCCGCGGCACAGACTCAGCCAGCTCAGTCCCCGGGGACACGGGGCTGCATTCCCTCAAGCTGACAGCGCTCTCCGGAGCTTTTCGGCTTTTAAGGCCAAGCTCTGGCAGCCCGGGGCGCGGTGCCGGTGTCCGTGCCCGGCGCAGCCCTGCGGCACCCGGGGCAGGGCGCAGACCGCCGGCCCCATGCAGGAGCTGAGGGGGGGCCATTGCCTTCCCCGCTGGGATAACCGCGCCCGCACAGCAGCCCCGGGGACGTGGGAACCGCGAGCGGCGGCAGCGCTGCCGCTCCTCCGTCCTGCGCTCCCTGGTTGGGTTTCCCCGGCGATGGGAGGCTCAGCCCCAGCCCCAGCGCCCGCCCCGGCGCCTGCCCAGAGCTCCCGGCGGGCAGGTGGATGCGATCGAGCTCCCCCGCCCGCCCCCCGGCAGCCACAGCCCCCCCTTCCCCATCGGTCCCGCCGCGGGGAGGCAGCTCTGCATCATCACCATCATCATCACCACCATCAGCGCCGGGGGTTGATCGGTTTGATCCCTCTTCTCCCCTCGCCCGACGCAGCGGAGCCGCAGCCGGGAGGACGCGGAGCCGGCGGTAGGTGCCGGGGAGGGAAAGGGGGGAGCTGCCGGTACCCCCCGGGGCTGGGGGTGGGCTGGGGGGGCGGGGATGAGGCAGGGGTTCAGCCCCCCCCCGAACCCCGCAAGAGACTGCAGCCCCCTGAGAGAGGAGGGAACCCGGAACCGAACATCCGTTCAAATTGTGACCTCAGAATTACTGCAAATTAGCCCAAGAAACCTGGATCAGGATGAGAATTGAAATATAAAATACATCTTAAATCGCAAAACACGGTATTTGGAGCATTAAAAAACAGGGAATCTGTTGAAGTGACACAGCACTAGGAAACGGTTCATTTCTGATGCAAAATGGTTCATTTTTGATGCAAGATACAGCTATTTATTTAAAAACCAAAACAACTTCCTGGGGCCCATTCCAGCCAGACACCCTGCTCCTACTGAAACATATCTTTTGACTTGCGTGAGCTTCTGTAAGTTCAGATCTCATGAGAAGCAATCGTGCGCAGCCAACCTCTGCTCCCTCTGACCTTTTCCTGCCCGAGCGCTGGGCATCGCCTCTTCCTCCTCCTCCTCCTCCTGCAGCCACAGCTCCCCGGCTGTTCTGGGGATGCAGGGACAGCGTTTGAGCTGGGTGGTCTCAGGGATGTCCAAGCCAAAAGGGAGGGGTCAGGATCCAAGCTGGGAAACGCTGGTGGGGAGGGAAGAAGAAAATAGGTAAAAGCAGTGGTTGGACAAGGCAGGGTGGAAGCAAAGCGGGTTCAGGTTAATTCCTGGCCAGACACCAGCAATGCCCTGGTTCAGCCCCCCGCTTTGGTCATGCACCCCATGCCTTGCTTCAGAGGCTGAGCAGTGCTTGTAGCTGCCATGAGGGTGGCACACTGAAGGTGCCTCAGGGTCCATCCCACTGCTCAGAGGTACCAGTACCCCCCGGCTCACCCCACCAGCCCCATCAGCATCCCTCGGGATGGCTGCCACAGCCGTGCCCGTGAGACATCACCTCACCACCCCAGTGCAGGGTTTGGTCCCTGCTCCCGAGCACCCCAGCATCACCCCACTGGCTCCTGGACCCAGTGCACTGGGTGGTGCTGGCAGCAGTACTGGGGAGGCCTGGCCACCTCTCAGCCCTGCAGTAATCGCCTTGGAGAGCGTGAGACGTACGGGAAGATCTGCACAAACAGGGGTCTAAAGTTTAATGGGTTCCTAAGGGCAGGACTGGGCTCAGTGGTGATAAGGCAGCACAATGTCCAATTGTTCTCCCCGCACTGCTGGGTCGGGCCCCGCTTCCTCCGGCTGCTCCAAGCACTCAGGATGCGCAGGAACACGCACTTTGGATTAGGGCTGAGGAGAGTTCAGGTCCACCGAGGTCTCCAGGCAGACCCAGAGCTTTGCAAGCCCTCTGGATAAACTTTCCTTCCCAGCTCCACCCCAGCCCAGGGGATGGACTTTCCCTCCCAAGCTCCCCAGATGACTTTGGCCTTCCTCCCACTCCTGAGACCTTGATCTTCCTCCCAACCAAGCAGCTCATCACGCAGCTGGCTATGGCTCCTTCCACTTTATTCCCCATCAGCTGCATGGCTCCTGCACACTGCTTTTCAAGGCGAAGCCCTGTGGTGCTCAGGACCCCTGTTCCTCAGCACAGGGATGATTGGTGACAGTGACAAGGACCTGTCTGCCCTGTGGCTGCTTTATCAGGCTCTTCCGCTTTGCTAAATGGCACAAACAAGCAAAGATGCTCGGGGAGGTGGCAGAGGGTGGCAGGGACGTGTGGCACCAGTGGGCAGCGGGGATGTGTGGGGCTCAGCACCTGAACTCACCCAGCAATTAGAGCTTGCAGCAATTTGCCTTTATATTTGGCATCTTCGGCTTGGCTCGGATAGCAGTTAACAGCTCCGAGCACAGTTGTAATGAGGAGTTAGGGCTCAGGCACAGGGCCCGTAAGGATAATAACTGCAGCGGGTTTATTTCAGTCTCTCATTTCAATGCGCTTCCAATGATGCGCTCATACAACAGACCCACACCAGAACATCCAGCACCTTCTGAAACACTTGCTTTCTCCTTTGATGCCAAGTCAGAAATGAAACAATAACGGAGCTCAGCCCTTAGGAAGGACCTTGATTATTCTCACCCAATAAGACCTCCAACCTCTGCTCCGCACCCCATGGGGACAGAGGGCTGGTTCTTCCTCACTGTGGCCAGCTCTGGCCAGCCCTGGCTCTTCCCTTTGAGTCGTATTTGTGTGTAAATATTTGCTGGTCCAGCAGGGCACAGGCTGGGGGTGCTGGGTGGTTTTCCTCTGCACAGGGCACCCAGACTCTTCCCGTGCTCTTTGCTGTGGGGGAGAGGAGCAGTGTTTGCTGGGAGGTGGCTGTGCTGCCGAGCCCTGCTGTGTGGACCAGGCTGTTCAGGGGTGCTGCGTCAGAGCCCATCCGTTTTCCAGCACTTGGCAAAGGCTTTGAAGACCGGTGGTGCATGTATCCTGGGAGCAGCTGGAATGTCCTGTATCCCAAATCGCAATGTCACCTGCGAGCACCCCTTTAACAGCCGGATAACCTATGGCTTGGGTTGGGGATTTTTTCCCTTAACAGAACAGTGGGCTGGCACACACCGGTACAACTCAGATAACCTTTCCTAATTGCATCAGAGAATCATGCAATGGGTTGGGTTGGAAAGGACCTTAAAGCTCCTCCAGCTCCAGCCCCAACACCTTCCACTAGAGCAGCTTGCTCCAAGCCCCTGTGTCCAACCTGGCCTTGAGCACTGCCAGGGATGGGGCAGCCACAGCTTCTCTGGGCACCCTGTGCCAGCGCCTCAGCACCCTCACAGGGAAGAGCTTCTGCCTAAGATGTAAGAGCTGCAGAGCACAAGTGGCTCCACCAGTGGAGCAGGACATGGAGGAGCCACATCCCTGCCCACTGCTGGAGGTGAGGGGGCTGAGGAGATAAATGCATGGGAGAACACACATATCACAGACAGTTCTATTTCTATTAGAAACTTCTTCTCAATCAGAAGTTTTTGGCTTCTGTTTAGCAGGAAATAAGATTATCAAATGAGAGCTGCTGCCTCTCGGCGCCTGGCTCCATTTCATTTGCAATCCATCATGAGAGGCCGTGGGAGCGGGGAAGGGCTGCAGGGAGGCACAGGGAAGGCAGCTCCCATCAGAGCGGAGGGTCAGCCTCACCCTGTGTTGTTTAAACACCAGTTCGGGGTAACTGAACTGTGACCCCTGAAAATACAGCTGCCAGGTTGGACACACGGGCTTGGAGCAAGCTGCTCTAGTGGAAGGGGTCCCTGCCCGTGGCAGGGGTTGGAGCTGGGGGAGCTTTAAGGTCCCTTCAACCCAAACCAAGCTGGGGTTCTGTGATTCACAGAAAGCTCTGTCACAGCTGAACCTGGGCACGAGGCATCATCCCCTCGAACCCAGAGGCAGTGACTTGTGGTGGGGTGTATTCAGAAACCCCGCATGTATTCTCTGCCAGTGCAGGTATCAGTGCTGATCCTTTGGGCTGGAGGCCTGCCTGGGTTTGCCGTTCAAACCGCTCACAATAGAAACCTCTTGGCAGAAGAATTTGTTGAAAACCAGTTCAGCAAGAGAGGGACGATGGCTTTGTCATGAAGCTCTGCCCCTCGTGTTGTGTGGCATCACTGAATCCTCCCTCTCCCCCAGTTGTGAGAGAAGAGAGGTGCGTGACTCAGTATTTCTCAGCAATGGCCATTGCTATTTTGTGCCTTGTTTTGAGCACCAGCGTCTGTTGTTTTAATGCTATCGGAGAACAAAAGCAGATGCCGAGGCCTTCAGAGCAGTTGCAGAAGAGATCAGTGCCGTGCTGATGCCATGTACTCCACATGCTGTAACGTGTCAAACATGGAGGGGTGGCACTGCCCTCCGCAGGGACAGGGCTCACCTGCATGCCTGGGTTAGAGACAGCGATGCACTGCAGCCAGGGGTAGCAAAGGCAGCAAAGCTCCGGCTGCCACAGACCCATCCTTTCTTCCTGAAACCTTGTTCGCACACCAAGGAAAGCAGCATAACAGAAACACTGCTTTTTCCCAGCTGCTGAACGTGGCAGATGAAAGCTAACACAGGCCCTCAGAGAGCGCCATGGTTAATATTTACAGATTCCTTTCAAGAGTAGCTAATACACAGCCAGTGCTAAATACTGTTCTATTAACCCCAGCACAGCACCTTAGCACACATCCATGGTGCAGCTTAAAGCCCAACCTGTGTTTTAATCAGGTAACAAAACCCACGCTTCTGGGCCTTCACCAACTCAAAAGTGAATTCAGAAAAACCCCCTTTCCCCTTTGATTTGTCCCAAGTCCCTGGCCTGACTCTCCCCAGGATGAGACAGAGGCGCTTTAAGAGGAATGAAATCACCCCTGAAAACTGCATCCTCCAGAGTGATGCCAGCAGAGAAAGAGAGATAAAGATGAGAGGAGAGCAGAGGGGGAAAACAGTGATTAAAGTGATCTGGTGACCAAAACAACACTGCACACAGGGCTGCCTGCTGGTGTGGAAAAGGCGGCTGCTCCAGAAAGCTGGAAACCTGAGGAGCATAGAAGGAATCCATCAATACAGAGTGAGAGAGCCTGCAGCTCCCTGCGGCCGCGGGGCACCGCTCCACTGACCAGTGCCGGCCTTTACAGCCCAGGGCGGTAATTATGGTCTCTGGGCAATTACCCTCCTCCTCCGAGCCCAGGTGTATAAACTGCCTCTGCTCACCCCTGCGGGTTTGGCAGCAGAGCAGCAAACCCTCCCGGCTGGAACAAACAGGCAAAGCAGCCCCGACCTGAGCCTCGCACAGCCCCTGCAGCTGCAGAGCCCCTAACGGGGTGCCTGCTGCCCCTGTACCCCCTTAGGAGGGTGTGTATCCCCTTAGCAGGGTGTGCACCCCCTCGTGTATCCCCTTACTGTGGTGCCGGCTGCCTATGCATCCCATCACAGGGTGCGTAACCCCCTTACTGGGGTCCATGCTGCCCCTGCACCCCAAACCTGCTCCCTTGCGCATGGGAAAGCACACAAAGCGAGGGGGCTGCTCAGGGATGGACCAAGCAGACATCTCCTAGGCAGCGTTTCCAAGCCTGACAGCTAACCCTGAGGACAAAGATTAGAAAAGAGGCAATAAAAGGGCTTTCCAGACGGAGTGTTTTGCAGGCTCCGCACCGCTGACTCACAGGGTGACAGCCAAACCCCTTTTGTCCCCTTCAGGCTCATTTCTGGAGCGGTGTTGTCCTGTCCAAGTTGTCCTCCCAAGGATTTGCACTTTGCCCACAGCGGTCTAGACACAGTCAATAAATGACTCACGACTTTGTGCTCACCAGCTCTGTCCTTGCTTCTGGCTCTTAATTTAGACCTGTGCTTCAAGAGCCGAGATCTGGGAGTCAGCCTTGACCTCAGATCTTCGCTGCCCACGTCTCTGCAGTCGGTGAATGTGCCTGTCCCACCCGCAGATGAGCCCGGCCAGCACTTACCCATGCAGGGACCTTATTTGTGCAGAAATAAGCTCAGCAGCACTGCCCAGAGCAGCTCCCACTGCTGCCCTTTGCAAGGCACCAAAGGCTATGGTTGGGCAGCTTCTCCTCCAGTGATGTCCACAGACATCCCCAGGGATGCTCAGGGACAAGCTCCTGGTGCCCTGTGCTGCCCGTGCCCTCCCTTACCGAGCTTAGACCTCCTCTTCCTCCTCTACTCATGCACTGACAGGGTGGCAGTGGCTCAGCAGTGGCCCATGCGAGGTGCACAGTCACCCTTATGGCCACAGCTGCCCCCAGCATCCCCAGCCCAGGGTCTGCAGGCAGCTTGCCCAGCCTGCAGGCCAACCTTCAGGGCATGGTCACCCTCACTCGCTCAAGGTGCCCCGAATCACACGCTGAGCCTGGCTGGTCGGTGCTCAGGTCACACAAGAGCAGGAGCCCTGAGTGAGTTATTCCCCTGTTTGCTCTCATCCGGCTCTGCCTGGGTGGACAGGAGGGGGAGATCTTTACCATGACAAGTCCCAGTCAGCGCAGCAGCAGATGAGCTCCAGATCCAAGCTGTTCGCTTACACAAGGGACACTGCACACCATAAATCCCCTGAAAACTAAAGCCTACACCAATCTCTCAGCGCCAGACGACCTGGCTGCTTCCTGCACATCTCCCTGCCATGCATGGCACCGACTGCATCCCTGCACCATCCAACCTGGAGATGGAGCAGCCTGTCCCCTCCGTGCACCGGCCACTCCCTGGCAGCTCCCGAGAGCTGCTTTTCGCCCACTGTTTTCCCCAGAGAGGTCACTCTTCATGCTCTAACAGCTGCACATCCTCACGGGGTGTGTTTATCTTGCACAGAGAATACTGCTCGGCGGGGTACATTTTCCACTGGAATTTCCATCTGCCTCTATATTTGAGCTTCATTTGCAGGTCAAATCTTGGACAGCGAATACAAGTTAAACACCCTCCCTTCCCCTTCCTTAATATTCCCTTTGCTGCAGCATGTTCTAAAAAGCTTCTGACTGATGCAGGGACTGATGCATGCTGATGTTAATGTTTTCCTTGTTTATGGAGCATCTCCATCCCAGTGCAATTCATGAGACACTTGTCGTAGCTTGGCTGCATTTTAAATACTGCATTATCACCCCTGGTATATGCAGCATTCCCCTTTTGGAACGTGGCTGGTTTTAGGGCACACACATCCCCTATTCACAGAGCTACGTGGGCAGGAAAGGGCTGATCCAAACGGTGCTTGCACACAATAACATCCCCCAAAGGCCGGATGCTGCCAGCGGAGCTGGTCAGTGAAGCCCAAGGCACAGCTCCAGCTCCTCTCAGGAGCCCTGGGCATAGAGCACCCAGAATGCTGGATACACAGACAGCAGCGCTCCTGGCACTCCGGTTGTTCCAGGGCTGTGAGCAGCCCCCCTGTCCCAGCACTAGCAGGGATAGCAGTGCTCACATCTGCGGGACCACAAGTTGCTGTCCCAAAGGTTTCTGGTTCAGTTTGGCTTTTTTTCGCCACTGAGATGATCCAGAGCATCTCTGCCTCCTGTCATCACCAGCATCCTCAGCTGCATCCCTGTGGGGCAGCCTGACCCCAGCCGCTTTCCCCTAAACTGGCTGTGGAAACACCAGGATCAACAACCACCACCCCGGTGGCTGCAGTCTGCCCACTCGGGAGCTGGAAATAACCACCGTGGGTGTCACCTCCACGGAAAGAGCTCTGGAGTGCTCTGCTACAGCGGCTGAGGTTCACCAGGTCCTTCAAATTGCAGCCTTTGCCCCTGCAACGCGCTTTTTATGGTGCTTTGTTGTTTACGGAGGTGAGGAAGGGCAGAAGCCATCCAGAAACCATCCCCCTGCCTCTGAGGGTGCCGTGATGGAAACAGCAGCAGCGTGCGAGGCAGGGCTCTGTTTTCCTTGGGGCGGTGCAGAAGTGGCTGCCTGCTCCTGCCTGCTGACGGGCGGCCTGAGGTCACGCTGCCTTCATCACTGATGCCATGGCAAGGACAGAATCAGTGCCCAGGTGCCTCATGTGCCCCAGCTGGGATAGCGGGGACCAGAACTGGGGCTCCATCTTCTACCAAGCTCTGGTGCACCCCGGTGTGAAATTCACACTGCTTTCTAGGCTGGAGATGAGGGTGACAAGTGGACAGGTTGGTGACCGTGGGCCTCCAGAGCCACCCACTGCCTGGAACCAAGAACTCCCCCAGTTTCTCCCTAAAATGTCAAAGCAGCGACCTGTCTGGCTCCACAGACAGAGGAGGTGGCAACGCACGGCTTCTCCGGACACTTTACTCCAGTGACTTCTTACCCACAGCTGATGATGCTGGAGGGGTTTGCTGCCTCACTCATCTGCACTTACCCACATTCAGCTTTGAGCTCGCCTTGCTCTGATCTTTCATCTGAAGCTCTCCTTGCATGCTCCTCTGCACTGCAGTCTGACTCTGGAAGGTATTTTCGCCAGCCCTAAGTCATGCAGATAAGAAAATGATTATTTATTGAGCAGCAGAGTGCACAGGAAAACAGGAAGCACAAAAAAAAAAGGAGTTCCCATCCATAGCTCCTAGACACTGCATTTAAAATAAGCTATTGAGCAGCAGAATTAAGAACAGAATTCCTGCAGCCAGCTTTTCTCAGCACTGCACAAGACAAGCTCTATAGCCCTTACACAAATATTTCAGAAGGAACAGAATTAACTCCTTGCACATTTCCAGCATAGAAAAAAATCACTGCTGAGCTTATGGGGAACCAGAAACCAAGTGATTTTCCTTGGAACAACCAAGAATGAGACTATGCTGGAGGAAGTTCGATTTCTGAGCGATGATATGTCTACTGATGGTTAACCACGAGGATGGATGTGGGGTTTCACTTGGCCTGGAGATGAAACCCTCAATTCCAGCATCCTCCGCATCTTTGGGGAAGGACATGGTACAAAGCCTGAACCCAAACTCAAATCCCAGTTTTGAAGCCGGAGCCAAGCCTTCATTGAGCTTGGCCACCCTTCAGAGGGCCAGCTGCAGGAAGTGTTGCATCTGACACCACGCGAGGATTCCTGCTTTTCACTCCTAACTCGAGCCTCATGCCTGGTTACCAACAGCACGCTGAGACTGCAGACCCGTCCGAGCACCAGGAGACTGGTGAGGGCTCGGGGCTGACAGAGGGTGACCGAGAGGAGCAGGGACCAGGCAGGTACCTGAAACGGGGGCATCAGCAGGAGGCTTTGCTTGGGTGGGACCAGAGGGCTCAGACAGGACAGGGTACAACAGGAGAATCAGATCAGCCCCTTGGCAGAGGAGCATTGCATACAGTGAAAATTTAGGGTTAGAGTGTGACATTTAAGCCAGCCACTGCTTTTACTGGGCAGAGCTGGCCTGAGGCAGAGCAGCTCCTGCTGCAAGCAGCCATGTGTTGTCTAAATGCTCCAAGAGACAGCGAGGAGGGAGGAGGGATGGAGAAAAGCACCTATAACCAGAGCAGGAAAACAGAGCCATGAGAAGCCTGCCCTGGCTGGGAGCAGCACGGCTGACACCGCTGTTTGTCCGTCCATCCATCCATCCATCCATCCATCCATCCATCCATCCATCCATCCTTCCGTGGGCGCCCAGACCAGCCTGGGTGCTCCTGTTATGTGGTCTGGCCTCTTGCCCAGTGTCCTGCTTGGACACCAGGGGTGAGTGGCAGGGGGGACAGTGACATTTGTCACTCAGCTTAACCTCCCTGTATGCCGGGGAACCGGGTCCTGAGCAGGGTGTGGATGGGGTCCCCCATGCCTGGGGATGCTGAGCAGGAGCCAAGTGGGAAGATGTCACTTCACTCCTGCATCAGCACACTGGGGCATGCCAAGTGCCCCCTGCCCAGGAGGGTTTCTTACACCATCACCAAACATTTCAACCAACAACAATGGATTAGTTTTACAGCATCCCTTTCCACTGTCTCCAGATGCTTTTCCCCTGGGAAGCAAAGCATGGGAGAGGTGTGCACAGCCCTGCACTTAACCACACTCTGCCCAGTGGCAAACACCCAAAACAAGGTACGTGCACCCTGTGCATCATTCCTGGGTCCTCATCCTCCTTGTGTGCCAGAGGTGAGACCATGAGGATGGTGTCACTCATGGCACATATTAGTGGCTGCTTCCAGCCAGCCCAGTAGTCCACACAAGCAAGATGCTGGGAGGCAGCACTGCAGTGGAGCACAGGAGGGATGATGCTTTATATTTGTCTCAGCTTGAGCCTGCAAGGAGGAAAGGGCACTTGTAAAAGTGGTCATGGCCACAGCTCTGCCCTGGAAGCACAACCCAGGGCCCATGGTCCTTGCTCAGGCCCTGCTATCTGGGAAGAGCTGCAGCTCCTGCACGGAGTGTGCTCCAGTGGAAGCATCTACCCACACTGGACAGACTGGCTTCAGCAGTGAACACTGCGAGTGGTGTCTTAAGATGAAGACGATAATCAGGCAATTGCCTCTACTGCAAAGCCCAAACGTGTCCCCTGGGTCCAATTCATCCTCCAGCCCATCCTTGGCTGAGCTTTTGCCATTCTCCATCCAGTGTGTTCTTTCCATAGAGCAGGTCCCACACATTTGGCTTGCACTGTGCACTGGGAGTTAGCACTTAAATCCCCCACATGAGGCAATGGGATTTGCTGCTGCAGCCTGTGCTGCTCATGTACGTGTCCACGGGCTTGGTCTAAACCCAGACAGGACACAGGAGGCGAGACCTTCCTGGCAAGGCTCCTGCTCTGGGGCTGGATTGAGTGCTGGAGCTGGGACTGTCATTAAGTTAATGAGCAGACTGCAGGAGGCTGTGGGCGGGAGGTGGGAGAGGCTAGAAGGTGATTAGAAAGTGGATCTTCACTTTGCTTTCCCATCTCCCCATGGATGCCACCAGTTTGCTGGGACGCTGCGCTGGATGTCCCAGCTTGAAGCGGCACCTGGGGTGCCACAGCCTCACAGCCACATACGGGTCACACATGGCTTTGAAGCCCTGCAGGAACATGAGACAGGAGCTAAACCAGGGCTGGGATGGCATAAAATGGTCAAATTGAGCCTGACCAACCTCTTGTCATAGAATGGTTCGGGCTGATGATGACAGCAGGCATTAGTTAGAGTAATTCCTACAGCTTTGCTCACACCTTATACCACATATTCCACTTACACAGGGTAAAACCTGGCACATAACTATTTCATTTAATCATATTGCCTGAGATAAAATCACCTTGCCACAAACACTGACTAGAAGCAAGCCAATGCATTCCGCTGACACACACAAAATGATCTATTACATATTTATCATACTCTTGGCCTAATCATTTATTAAGACCTTCTAAGAGGATCCGCAGTCCAAGGAATTTGAGCCGTGCCTTGCACTGGCATCCCTTTGGAGGAACACAGCCCTTGCAGGCTGCCTGTGCTGGTGATAACCCCAGAGCCACTGTGCCACAGCTCCTGGAGCAACCAGAGCACAAGGAAACCTCTTGCTGACCTCTAATCCTTTCCTAGGTGAGGAAATCCATCCCATGCAATGGATCCCAAAAATCTGGGATGAATAAAAGCCCTGTTTATCGGAGAGATATTCACTCAATATGATCAGGCTGTTCTCGGGTCGCCCCAAAGCCGTACCTGTCAGCCCACAGGGTACTTCAGGAATGCCTTGGAATGGGCAATAGGTGGAGAAAAGCCAGAGCCTGGATTCCTTAAAAATAGTCTACCTGTTAAAACAGTGCTTTCCATTTGCATCTGTAGTGTTTATGCACCGCCTGGGAAGTGACTGTGCTATCCAGGTGGCTGCAGTCAGGAGTGGGAATGGGGAATGAGCCCACGGGAGGTGATGCTGCCTGATCACAGCTGAGTCATGTGCCCTGGAAGAAACAGGATTTCTGCTTCAATGGAGAAAACAACACGTTCCCAAGTCAAGCAGGAGTGTTTCCATTGAACTCACCAGAGCCCAGTGCAGGAGACACTGACCTCAGTAAGGACAAAACCTCAGCACAGTCCTGGGTGTTGCTAGCTGGAGGCTCCAGCACCATCTTCAGCTGATCATCCATTGACAGCTGTGATTAAATGCACTCCTCACCAACGCAGCCACACTTGTTCTGAGGGGGTGCTTAACAGAGGCCATGCAGAACACTTCAACCCCACATAAAGGATTGTATCCAAAGCCAAGGACAGTTCTAATGCATTTGAGTCAAACCCTATCTTGTTTTAACCCACGGCACGTGAGATACTTCTGGTTTCCTCCACACAGTAGCCAGGTATTCTATACTTTAGTTAAAAACAGGCTCACCTTAGCTGGTCGCCTCCTGGTTTCATGGCCTGGCTGGGGGACCAAGGCACCATTTGGGCATCAGAGGTTGTGAAGAGGCTGTGCTGATGATGCAGCGTGCTCAGCCGCAGGCACCAGGTCCATCAGCCTCTGACGCAATGGGCTGTCATGAACATGCAACATTCCTGCCTCTGATCTCAAGAAAATGGATCCGTTCAAGTAAGTCAGGAGGAGTCTAAAGAAAAAGGAGCAGAGAGGAAGCACTGGTCTGGAAAGAAAACCGGGCAGAGACATTTTAGCAACATGATAAAGCTCCTCCCCAGGTTGCCAAACTCCCATCAATGCTGACTCTATAATGCAAGCAAAGGGGTGACGCCTGCATTGATGGGAAGGCAGAAGGACCTCACTCCTTTTCCGTGGCCCCCAGCGTGTGCGGTTATTTCGGAGCTCGCCTGTTATTGGCAGCAGAACCGGCCCTCGACGCTCAGGCTCGGATGCTCGTGGGGTTTGGGATCTCACATCAAAGCCGCTGGTTTGGCTGCAGCAGCGGTGATAAAGCTTGGAACCAAACCCAAACTTCTCAGAACTTCCCAGCTCTTCCGGCCCCGTGAGGGCTCGTCCCTCCTCGCCGCTGCCGGCAGCACGCACGCTGCACTGCTCCAGCACCGCGGCTCAGCCAGGCCTGGCTGCAGTGGAGAAGTGAGTTCAACCCAAACGTTAAAGTCCTTTCTGCTTCAGAAACCTCCTTCTGATCCTTGGGGTTCTGACATCTCCTTACACAGGAAGAGGAGCAGTGCCATGGGCTGCCCCCGCGCCGGAGCGCAGAGCCAGGGCCACCTCAGAGCAGATGCCCTGGGTCCAGCTCCCAGGGATGATGCCATTCATTCCTACAGCGGTTTTCTCCTAGGCAGCGCAGCACAGGAAGCTGTGGGAATGGGAGGAAAGAGGAGAGCCATGAACCCAGCTGGTCTTGGACAAACACTCTCCAGCCTGGGCTCCAACTTACTGTCCTAGTGCAACCGGTGGTGTCAACTGCTCAGCAGCTGCCACCCCCTCTTACAGCAATCTCCTCTTGGAATATTTTCCTTTCTCCATGGGGCACCAAATAACCGCTGGAGTGTGGTGTCTCTCAGCTTAGCATCCTGGAGGGAGCTTTCTGTTCTGCTTTGAGCTATTTAATCGTTTTGTTGGGCTTCTACCCAAAGAAATAAGGCTCTTTATGTTGTCTTTGGTTCAGGTTCTCTCTCTCATGCTTTTTAGCTCCCATAAAAACTTAACATGTTCCTGCCAAAAGTGTAATAGTAGGGCCATGAGTGGTGGTATGCGCGAAGTACCGACTCCACGGTCATAAAAGTATGAGAACAGCAATAGTATTTAGCAAGGAGAGACAATGGGAGTGGAAAATAGCGTTCATTCAGCTTCTCCTGTGCAGTCAAAAGCAGCTGGCGAGCACTGAATCCACCCTAAAAATGGCAAAGAACCGTAAAGGAAGTATGTGTAAAGAAGAAGCCATTTCCAGTCGAGTCGCTCTGTTGAAGCTATCCATAAACACCCCTGAGTGCACGGACCCTCAGGTAACCAAAGGGAGCATCCCAGTCTGCTCCTTGCTGTGCTGGCTGATGCATGAGCTTGGCTGAGATCCTGATCTGAGCTTTGGGATATTTCTTTCTTGCTTCCATCCAGCATCAACCCAGGAGACTTCCGAGCACCTCTTACCCTCAGATTAAGGTTCAAGGAAAGCTTTAGTTCCAGGAAATTACACAGTGCCACTGATCTCCATTAATGCTCTGCAGCACTAAAGCCTCATGTACCACGTTGAAAGCGTGAAGGCTTTCTTTCAGATGTTTTGGCAGACATTTGGCATTAAAAACTAATCTGCTACAAGAAAAGTGTGATCTCTTGACAGAAAAATGAGCCTGGGGACAAGAAACTCGGCGAAATACCTCATTTCACCTGAAGACTGCGGTAAAAAAGGAGCTTGAAGCTATAGTTAGCTGGTCCATCACCTGCTTTGGAAAACCACCAGGAGCCATGAAGCTTGTGAGCTCTTGTGGGTTGTTTCACCACCCTCATCACAGAATACCCATGAAGTGAGAGCCCACGTTGCCTCCTGCAAGAGCTCTTCCCAAAACCCCTGTCTGTGTTGGACAGGGGATCTGTGGAACTTCACAGCTTCCAAACACACAAAGTCTGACCACGCCAGCGCTGAGATGGACACGGCTTTTGGGCCATTCAGGAGCAAGGGCAGCAGCAGAGGAGGCTGCAAAACTTGGTTGGACTCCCTGGGGACAAGTGGATCCTTCGGGCTTTGCAAATAGTCCCAGAGCAAAAGCGGGCATTGAGGAGGTGCAGATATGGGGAGGGACTGGTCTAGGGACACTTTATAGACCTAGATAAGGACCCAAACAGCTGCCAGCACAAGACAGCATATAGCTGAGGAAGCACTGGGCTGATAAGGAAACACTTGGTAGGCGCTGAGGGACTTGCCAAGCAACATCAAAATGGCTCTGGAGAAAGGGCAGTGGGGAAAAGTCTAAAATCCTTTGTGTGTGTGCATTGACTGTGAGCTCAGCTGGTTTATTGGGATTTAATACCTCCATCCGCAGCAAACTCCGGGCTGACAGTCAGGAGGAAAGAGGAGCTGCTGTGAACCAGCAGCTACCAGAAGGAACTGAGGCTGGGATGGCAGGGGATGCTCTTCTCTTTACAGCCATTTTCCTTTCCTAGGAAATCTTGTGTTGTGCCAGGGACCCTGAGGGGACACGTCTGGGAGTAAGGCACGGAGCCTATGTCCTTACCACAGTGTCTCTATTTGCAAGGTTTCAGCTTTTAACAACCCAGCTTGCAGACATTTTTATCTTCTACAGGCTATGGGGAGCCACTGGAGCAGGGAGGGTCCCCTCCCTGCAGCTGCAAATTTCAATACTTAAGAGTTTACAACCAAATATTTAGGGATTATACGGATAGATACGTGTGTGTGAATTGCAAATAGCTGCAATCCTTCACATCTCCCAGGTCGCTCTTAAGTACCACAGCAAACTCACACTGTATACCAGCTCCCTCCTAACATACCAGGAGCACAGCTCAGTGGTGAAGACACATCTTTACAATCTGTAAGTATATATAATCAGTGACTATATTCTATTTCCCATAATATAGCCATGGGAATACATGATATATGAAATAATTTCCCACATCTAGATTTGTACTGTGCTCTGTCTTTTTCTGTTCATAAATCCACTGTGGAAATTTGTATATGGAAGACAGAATATTCACGGGAGATTTTAAACGTAGTTTCTAGGCTAGAATCCATCAGATAGATTTGAATATAGCTGGAACACATGTGGGATTCTGGTTCCCAGGTACAGCACATCCTGATCCTGTGGCTGCGATGGCAGCTCTTGCCCTCCAGCATTCACAGCATCTTTCTCTTACCGGTCTGATGATGCTTTCAGGTTGCAGCACAGCATCTGCTGAAACATGGATCACGGTCACAAAGGGTATTGCAAAAGGAGGTTTCAGGACAATCTCCATGTGTTTCCCAGGCCCCAAGGAGAGCTCAGGAGCCCCAAGGGAAGCAGCACTTCCAAGCCAGCGCCTGTTGCTCCTAAGCAGCTGGATTGCCCCATGCCCAGTTACACTCCCTGCACCAGCCAGAGCTCTGCCTGTCCCTTTTAACCAGCCTTATTGAGACCCAACGGTGCACAGACATGGTTTAATCTAGACTCAAAGTTCCTCTTTTCCTCATACAATTGATCGGTGTATGGGCATATCTCCTGCTTACTGCCCAGGCAGTCAAAGCCTCCTGTCCCTGTCATCTCCCACAATATCTAACGCTTGTTATGATCTTTAGCATGCGTGTGCCTTGGCCAGGTGAGGTGCAGAGTGCCAAGATACGAAGTAATATTTGCTATCTGGCATGCAGTGCGTGTTGCAATACCTAGTCATAATCATGTTTGAGAGCTATAATAGCGGAGGGAGTTATTAACCTGGGCTCCCTTCCTGCCTCTTGTGGCTTTCAATCAGACACTGGGTGGTTTTCAGCCTTCTTTTTCTCAGTGTATAATTTTAGTCCGTACGTCAATAGAAAGCAGAAAGAAAACAGAATTTACGATGATAAAATTGAAAGGGCAGAGTCCTGCCGCCCAGTGAGGAGACAAACCCCGCACCCCTCCCACGCTGGAGGAGCCTCACCTTGGGGCTGTGTCACTGCCAGAGCCATCATCCACCCTGTGATTCACCTGCCCTGAGCCACCCCGGCTACCGGATGGGACCCCTGGGCTCCCTCCTATCCCTTTAAAAGCCTGGCAGGAGCTGCAGTGTGTGCCAAGCACTCGGTGCCACCGGCCCTGCCGAACCCCATCACATCTCTTGCAGGCCGGCGGCAGGGAGAGGCTGAGCCATGGCCGAAGGGGAGATCACCACCTTCACCGCCCTGACTGAGAAGTTCAACCTTCCCCCGGGGAACTACAAGAAGCCCAAGCTCCTGTACTGCAGCAACGGCGGCCACTTCCTGCGCATCCTCCCTGACGGCAAAGTGGATGGGACCAGGGACCGGAGCGACCAGCACAGTAAGCAAACCCGACCGGGCTTCTTGGGGCTCCTCCTTGCTCCTATGATTTTATCAGCCAGGAAGGGGGGAGCGGGGGAAGATGGGCCCTGTGCCAAGCTCTATTTCCTCCTCGTGCCAACATGCCTTCTGGGACACGCACCAAGCACACCCATAGCGCCGGCAGGCACGGTATGAGTGCTATTTCCCACCTGCAGGAGTGTTAAATCTGAAACTGGTCATGAGTGCAATCACAGGCAGGCAGACTGCACAGGACCCAAGTGCTAATTGCATGGCTGGCAGCTGGAAGAAAAGGCTTAGGAGCAGCTTCACATCCTACACGCACACAGCCATCACACACTGCTATGGTATCTTTGCATTTGCTATGGGGTGGAGGATTCAGCACAGCAGCCACAGAGGCTCCTCTTGCTTCGACCATGCCCTGCAAAGCCATTAGATGAGAGCTGAAACCTGTCTCAGACACCAAGGCAGCCTTTGTCCCTGTGGCAAAGCAAGCTGCCACCTCAGAGCCAGAGTTTCCTCTCAGGCTGCACCATGCACACAGGTAGCGAGCGCCGGCAGCGTGGCCCCGCTGCGCCCCGGCACGCTCACACCTCCTCGGCTGCCGGCCTGGGGCTGCGTGTTTGGAAACCTGTGCCAGAAAGGAACCTCCTGCGGATGATCTCGTAAGCTTGGACACGGGAACGGACAAATATTTACAGAGGAAACTCCTGAAGGGCCGCGTGCCAGCGGAGCAGCCCTGCAGCGCGGTGCCTGCCTCCGAGCACCACGGTCCTGCCCCTGAGCGCAAGCCAGGTCCGTATGGGAAACCTGGGGGTAAAGGCAAGGAGAGAAGACCCCAGAGGGGGACGAGGCACCAGAACACTCGCAGCTCATCCGGGATGCAGTATGCAAGGCTGCAGTAGAGCCTGTGCTGGGGCTTTGCAAGCTGCCCATGAGTTTTGCTCCAGATAGGCATCAAGAATTCACACTGTTATTGTAAATTGCCTTGCCCAGCACTAGCCCCAGAATCAGGGAGGATCTCCAAAGAGAACAGAAGTGCCTCACTCCAAGGCCCTGGCATCCAGCCCTGCAAAAGGACCCCCTCACTGTGCACTTTGCTGCCATGTGTGAGCATCTCAGACTTGCACTGGGAAACGAAAACTCACCAGGATGTTGCAGACCCTCAAAGGATGAAGCCTGCGCTGGTTTCCACAAACAGCCCCATTTCCTGTTTCATCCCATTATTTCACAGAAGGAAATATCTGTACAGACCTGGAAAACCACAGGAATTTGTGTGTGAGCTCCTGAACCTGACATTCTCCCTCTCTCTGTGGCCCTAGACCTGAGTGTCCCCATCAGCAGCTGGAGGGTCCCCCTACTCCCCTCTCTTGAAATCAGGTTTTGGGACATTGTCACCATTTTTATCTCATAGAATCAAAGAATCATGGAATGGTTTGGGTTGGAAGGGACCTTAAAGATCATTCCATGGGGAAGTAACCAGGCAAAGAGAAACGTTAACTGCTGTGTTCGGTACAGGATGCTGAGTGGAGGAGGGAGGTGGCCCAGACACCCTGGCCTGCAGCTGACCCATTCAACTCCCACGGTACAAGACCAATAAGGAACTTGTTTTGCCCTGGAATTCCCAGTTGAGGTCCAGGATCAGTGCCAGGGACAGGAAGCTGGTGCCCAGTGGGCTGCATGAACCAGCACAGCATCACCCAGCCCAGCCTGTGCAGGCTCTGCTCTCAGTTCATTATCAAACTCATGTCAGTGCCACAAAGTAGGACAATCTCAGCTGTGGCTCATGGCTTCCTATGAGAGGTGTTTTTTTAGGATGAAAACCAGCCCTTTCGCCACTCTTTGTCTATGATGTGCCGGACAAAGCCATGCACAGCACACTGCTGGATGGGATGCTTTGGGTCAGGGGTTTTCAGGCATCTGAAGTCTGCCCCTCCCTGGTTTAGCTCTCAAAATACTTCTGTGTATGTCACTCCCCAAGTGTCTTGTCAAAACCACATGAGAAATTGGTAAATTAGAGCCAGAATTAAAACCCCAATCTCCTGTGTCCCATTCCAGAGCCCTAACCAAAAGGCTGTTCTTCCTTTGATGTAAAATAAGGAAAAAATTGGTCTTTGGTTCTTAAAGCATGGCTCTGGGGTTTCTTTGAAGGAGAGGGTACAAGGACACACTTCTATTACATGCTGTACTGTTTCCTATAAACTCTTTATAAGCCAGGCTTTGGAACAAAACCACCCTGCCCACTTTCCTAGCAGCTTGGACGTTATCTCTGACAACATTTTGTTGGGGTTTTTCCCCCTTTTCCTATTTTCCTTTCACTTCTGTTGTTGCTTTATTTCTGCTTTCAGTTCAGCTCCAGCTCAGCGCGGAAAGCGTGGGAGAGGTGTATATAAAGAGCACCCAGTCTGGGCAGTACCTGGCGATGGACACCAACGGGCTGCTCTACGGCTCGGTAAGTAGGAGGTTTAGGTGGGACCAGACATGGAGAGGGTTTGAGGTTTGCAGAAATCTCGAGGCTCTGAGTAATGCAAACCACAGGCAGCAATTAGGCTCTGCTTGTTGTTTTGGCAGCTGGACGGCCACTCTTCATACGGCTTTATTTTGGGGGGAAAGAAATAAATAACCAAATAACACCATTTACCACCCAGGCAGCCCCAGGCAATGGCCCACAGCCACTGAGCAAAGACCTCCTCACATTTTTCCTCTGCATCCTGGTTGCACCAAACCCTGTGCTGGAGGCAGCAGCAGCATCCACAACATCCCAGCATGAGGGGGATGGTGCAAGGCAGGAGCTGACCCCCCTGTGCCTAGGAACTGTATGGCACAGAGTGACCCAAAATATTGTGGGTCTTTAAGAATAGCCCCATTTAGAGCAAAGTGTGTGACACACAACCCTGGTCGCAGGCTGCTCGGCCTCCCCAAAGAGCTGGTTTGTTCCCTGTGCTCATGCTCTGAACCCGCAGCTGCCACCGCACAGCTCAGTGCCAGAGCAGGAACCAGTGCCAGGACCAGCTTACAGAGTGGGGCTGGGCTCAGGTATTGCCCAATAAAGTGCCCAGAGCATGGTCAGATTACTGCAGGAGGAGCCCAGGGGACTACACTAAGGCTACTTACCTCCAGGCTTTGAATATGAGCTTCACTGGGGCACGGAGGTCTCAGAGGTCGGTCTTGACACATCGCAGTGGGAGAGCCCCCAGACTGGGATTGCTGCACTAGGAACGCGCATCCTCCTCCCCACAGCATCGCCCCATCTCACTGTGGTTCCCCGGGGCTCTCTTTCAGCAGTTACTGGGTGAGGAGTGCCTGTTCCTAGAAAGGATTGAAGAAAACCATTACAACACGTACGTCTCCAAAAAGCACGCGGATAAGAACTGGTTCGTAGGTCTGAAGAAGAACGGGAACAGCAAGCTGGGGCCACGGACTCACTATGGCCAGAAGGCGATCCTCTTCCTCCCACTGCCTGTCTCGCCCGACTAAGCGCTGTCCCAGAGGCTCAGAGATGACCCTGAACCCCAAATTCCAGCTGCCACCTCCTCCTTTTCCCTCTCTCTTTCGTCTAGTATGACAGAGCCAGACATTAGAGCTCCGAGCTTTAGGTAAAGGCTTTACCAAAACAGACGGAGCAGAGCTCCTCTGCTCCACACAAAGCTTTGCAGAGAGGAGGTGAAAAGCCCCAACACCCTCTCAAGGTCCACCGGTACCCACCACCCCTTCCCTCTGCCGGTGCATGCCATGAGCAGGCTGCAGGTCCTGGGGACACACATGTACCCACTGCGGGCAGGCACCCCAAAACGTGGCCAAGGGCACCCAAGGACACCCCGGTTACAGAGGAAAGCACGCTTTTACTGTCCCCTGCCATCCTAAAGCAACCCCCCCACCGGATACTCTGTACTAACATATTCAACCATCTAAGTATGTAGCTTCTAATATGCCCTCTAAGCAATTTGATATTGCAGCAACAGTCATGTTATCGAGTGCCAGCCTGGTTAAATTATATCCTTGGTGTGTTAAGCTAAACTAGAATGAGCCAAAAGCTCCAAGCCCACCTTACCCTCCCTTTCAATGTGCATATTGCTATATGTCATGCTAGAACCTGCCATATGTTATTTGTATTTATTTATTGAGTAAATATGTCTCTTCTACAATCTGTTCATATGTAATTCTAGGCACCAAAGCCCCCTGAGGCTGTCCCAGTGAGGGTGGGGGGCAGTGGGGGTGACTAAAGTCTGATGCTGAAGATGTGATGGTGCAGCAGGAACAATCTGCATGATGGTAACAGCACATTGCATCCCATTCCCAAGGCCCTTCCTTACCTCATCCTGATTCCATAGAATCATTAGTGAATCCCAGCCTGGTTTTGGCTGGAAGGGACCTTAAAGCTGATCCAGCTCCAACCCCTGCCACAGGCAGGGACACCTTCCATAGAGCAGCTTGCTCCAAGCCTCTGTGTCCAACCTGGCCTTGAGCACTGCCAGGGATGGGGCAGCCACAGCTTCTCTGGGCAATCTAAGCATCTAAGCACATGTAATATAACCCATACCAAGTGCACACAATCCCACTACAAAAGCTGAACAACTAATGGTTCACAAATGCCAACACAAACCACATGCACACTTTTAATCCCCTGAACCGTGAGGTGAAACTCACTTTCAGTCCTCAGGGAAGGGTTCCAGGCCAATGGAGGGCAAGGAGCGGATGCACAGCTCCCTGTGACCCTTCATCTGACAAAAGCCACCCCATGGGGGGATCATCTTCATCCTTCCGTGTGCCCACATCCAACACCTGCAGGGACATGGTTCCCTCAGCAGGCTGAACCCCTCCCATCTCTACCTCCTGTGCTGCCACCAACTTGTAATTGCTTAATTGTGGTGGGTCAGGGCTGAGAAGTTTGACATTTAAAGCAGGCAGTGGCCAGTAAGGACTGAATAGCTGCCAAAACCCCAACGAGCTGCAGGAGAAACGTCAAGAGAAGGACGCAGCTATTGCCGATGTCTCAGGCACCTGGGAAAGGCCACAGACAGTGTTCCAACAGCAAACACAAAGCTGGGCAACACAGAGCGACGTGGGTAGGCAGCAACGTCAGCACGTTAAACACTGTGGCCACTTTCCCTGTGAAAGGCTGGGCTGTCACTCAAGTCGGAAAGCGAATGACTGCATGACCAGGAGAGAGCCAGGTTTCTAATTAAACAGGAAAGCTGGAAAGCGCAAGGCCAGATTTAGCTGTGCTGCCTTCCAACACCTCATTAACCACAGGGCATTCCTCTCCTTTGCTGCTGCTGCTGCTCACAAGTCACCACCACAGGTACACGCTCAATGCCCAATGGAGGGAAAATGTCAACACTTTGTCTGAAAAATAACCCCTAAGGAGGCCGCAGTAATTGCTCCAGACAGATGGACACGCAGGGATCACAGTGCCCAGGGAAACCGCGCTCGCTTTGGAGAGCCCTGTCCTTAGGGTGGGAGGTGACGGAGGGGAAAAAAGGCTTCAGAGATTTAATAAAATCATTGCACTTACAGATCTTTCCCACTAAGTGCAGCGAGCACAAGTGTGCTGCGAGAGGGATTCTGGAATGGGTCGGAAGGAAGAGCAAGGGCTGCTGCACAGAGGGTGAGCTGGGGAGGCACGGCTGGGTGGCAAAAGGACAGCAGTGTTCAGATGCTGGGTTAAATTTACAGCATTCCAACCCAGCAGCAGCCAAATGGGGCTCGATCGCAGCCTTTTCCAGCTTCCATTTAGTGCTGTCTCCTGGTGGATCTTGCAAGCTTCCACATCCTAAGGAAGTGGAAGGAGGCAGTGCTGCAGGGAAGGTCCCGTGTGGTCCCACAACCCCTTCTCCCAGTGCACACACATCCATAGGCCTGCAGAGATCTTAAGAGACTGCAAGCTCAACAGCGTGCCACCAGCCAGGTAGAGCACCGGGGTGCTGAGGGCTCTGAGTCCTGTCTGCTCCCTCCTCCTGTTTGGCTCCAGAGTCCTCTGCAGAGATTTAAAGCTTGACTGCCAGTTCCTGTTAGCTGTTTATCCTGCACCAGGAAGAAGGGCATGAAAAGTCACACAAACTATTGCACTGGGAGAGCTGAAGCTATTTGTTAAAAATATCACACTTTACATTAAATAAACAACTCTCTGACATGCTGCCATCCGTCAGGGAAGAATGTAAATCTGGGTCTAATGGCTCCCATATGTTCCTCATGTATGACATGAAAATACCCAGGAAAGGTAAAAGCTGGGTAGGGCTGGGCTGCAGTGCCGGGTTCAGCCAGGTTGGACCGGGCTTGGAGCAAGCTGCTCTAGTGGAAGGTGTCCCTGCCCGTGGCAGGGGCTGGAGCTGGAGGAGCTTTAAGGTCCCTTCCAACCCAAACGGTTCCATGGCTCTGTGAAGGCGAGCAGCAGGGCTGCCGCTGTTTCAGCTTTAGCTTTGGAGCAGGACGCGCAGGAGCGGGCAGGGACGAGCTCATGGGGCGCTGGAGCAAGCACCGAAAGGCAGAGAAAATGCCAGGCCCGGCCCCCAGGGCTGCTGCCAGCGGGCGCTCGGGAATCGCGCTTCCCCGGTGCAAAGCCAGCCGCGGTCCCGGTCCCGGTCCCGGTCCCGGTGCCGGCCCCGCGCCGCGGGTGCCCAGGAGATGGCGATGCGGAGGCGCCGAGGCCACGCAGCGGAGCGGCAACATCTGGAGCAGCATCTGGCTGACAAATGGAGCGAGAGGGAGCTTGGAGGGGCCTCGGGCAGTGGCTGCTCCCCCGCTGCCTCCCTGCCCCGCTTCCCCCGGGGTGCCGGGGCTGCTCCCAGCCCTGCACCCCACATGGGGCCAGGGCTGAGGGGGACCCTCGGGGCGGGGGGGCAGGAAGGGTAGAGAGGGGTTACAGTGGCAAGCAAGAACACTCATCCCACAGAGTGGCTTCTTCCTCTTCCTCTAACCCAGAGGGCTGCTTTGCCCATGAGACATCACTCAGCCACAGCCTGAAAAGCCAAAACAACTGAAGCAAGGAAGCCTGAAATAATCTATTATTAAGCTCTGGGAACTGATGGGAATCCAAGCAAAAGGAAAGTTGGGTTTCTGCTGTTTTCCTGCGGTTGGCATTTTGGAAAGGCTGACAGAGGACACACACATCTCGAGGCTATGGGACAACGTGGTGGTGGGTGGCCAGGCCAGGGCTGTGGGGGACCACGATGCCATGTAGCATCATCCCCTCTGAGGCTCCAGCAAGGACCAAGGGAGCCCCCAGAGCCACAGCCCAAGCCTGGCTCATGGCAGTGCTCGTCCCATGGCACTGCATCCCATCCCAAGCACCCCCACTGCACCCCAGACTTCCATCCACGCTGTCCTCAGCCTTCCTTTAGTGTAGGTACCATGGATGGTGCCAAACCCCTTCACGATGTGCCAGCAGAAATAAACTTTTGGGATGCCACATCTATTCCCATATGTGCCCTGATTCTGTTTATAGAGCCAGTATCTGCAGCACTCCTGAGCTACGGAGGGAGTCGGAGCAAACTTCTGCTCAGGGTACTGGGACAGTGTAAACCAGTTCATGGTGAAGGTTGATATTAGGAGAATGGGGGGATTTGGCAAACCTCCACCTTGAGGCATCACCATGGTTTGTGCAGGTCAGGCTGTCTCGAAGCACGTGCAGCAATTTGTTCCAGCTACTGAGGGTGGCTTGTGGCAACTGCTAATCCCAGCCCTCGGGTCAAGCCCCTCAAGGGGAGGGAGAGGCCCCTGCTACAGCTCTCACTCCTCGAGACGCTGAGCATCAGAAAGCTGGAGCTTAAACCTCAGTGTAATCCCCACACAAAGAGGTGGTCCCTGGTAATGGGTTTACCTGCTTAATTCTCTCCCCGGCAGTTCCTGGCTCTCAGGGTTTTCCCTTCCCCACTAATTCAGTGCTGCAGGAAACTCTGCTTCCCACATTAAGCAGATTGTCTGTTACAATACAGACAAATGCATTTATCATGCTGAATTCCCGAGCCATTACACCACAGCCTTTCCGGGATATGAATCCTGTCGCTCACATCCTCCCCTGCCCCATTTCCGGAGCTGGTCCACGATGCATTTATCACCCAAGACACAGAGGATCTCCACTCCCCCTCCCTGGAAGAACATCCTGGGTCCACCACAGTTGCTGGCAGCAGGTTCCTTCCTTGCTGCCCCTGCCCTGGACCCAGCTCACTGTAGGAGCCCAATGCCAGCACTTCAGGAGCAGCAGGCTCAGGTGCCAGATCTGCTGCCATGCCCAAAACACACCCAGTCTCAGGAGCCACCACCTGCCTCAGTTTCCCCACTGCTAAAAGGAGCTAAATACCTCTTG